AAACTAAAGTGAATCTAGCTGAGGGATTTTTGCAAGTAAAATACATTAATAAACAGATAACTGTTTGAGCCACCACATACATGTAGAAGTTTCTGTATTTTGTCTTGTAAGTGGATGTCTAATTCTGGTTTTTATCTTTATTACCAGAAAAAAAGGCAAAGATTGAGGAAGAAATGAAAGGTTGGTGGTTATTTATGTTGTCCTTTATCTTTTGTACCAAGTCAGTTGGGCTATTATTTAAGGAATTAATTTTTTAAAGAAAACACTTTGTTTCAAAATTGTAGTATGGTAATACAAATGAGGATTTGTGATTTAAAAGGTGCATGAAGAAGGTTAGTTTTCAAATAATGTGGAAGCTTAATAATTATTATGGTAAGCTAAGATTTGTTACTGCAGAATTCCATCCTGCAAAACCCTAATAGTCTGACAACCATGTTTTGGCTACATTTTGTACCCCATGAATGAATAAAAAGCTTAGTTGCATGTTTATCCTTGGTGGTGAGGCTTATTTTACCAACAGGAAATCACATTTAATTTCTTTTCTCTGATGCAGCAGAAATAGGGAATGATGAATGCTGTATTAAGACTTGCAGTGATGAACAGAAGCAGCTTCCAACAGGTACAGTGATATACAATGTAATCTGTAATTCCCCTGTTAATTCAGTAAACAATTTTTAATGAAATGAGACAAACTGAAAGACAAAGTATGATTTCCAAGCTTTGGTTGCTCCCTGACTTATACACTGGCTTAGGTATTTGTGTATTCTCCCTTTATAAAATTTTACCTCAGAAGATACTGTATTTCTTCAAATGAGCACCCATGTTCTAATAAGTGCCTTCCTCCAAATAAGCACCCACCCTCAAGGCCATGATTTTCACTTAGCTCCTCCCTTGGAATCAGTAGCAGAATCAGTGCAGGAGAATACTCAGTGCCCCCCTCAATTTAGCACCCTCCCTCCAATAAGTGTTCCCCCCCCCCTTTAAATAAGTACTTGGGCACTTGTCAGGGGAGATCAAGGTTGGGCTCTAAGAAAAATTGAAGGGAGCCCAGAGCTCTGAAACTGTGAAATCCAGGGTGCCCAGCATATGCTTTTTATGAAAAAACTAAAATTCCTGAGTCGCCCGTGAGCAAAAGTAAGGCACCAGGGGCCACCGGGTGCTGTTAGACCACAGCCATGGAGATACAGTATTTAAAAACAGATTGAAGAAATCAATTGGGCTAAAAATAGAAAAAAATTTAAGATTGTTTACCAGAGAATTCTTTAAGAAAAGAGTGTGTTTATACCTCTGGCTATTCATTTTCAAGAGGTTTTCTTCTCACTGATATTTTCCTCGGAAAATTTATACCGAGAGCAAGGTTAGACATGTGGAAAGGTTCGTATAACTTTGACAACATAGAGGTGAGATGAAGGAATATAAAGAACAATTTAAAAAATTGAAATTTGGAGAAAATCTAAAAGGATAGATATGTTTTCTGTTTTAAACTTTTGTCAATTTTTTTCTTAATATGCATAAAGATGCTTCATTTGAATAGCATAAAGCTTGCCATCGAAATATTAATGTTAGAAATGTCAGACCAAGCATGGACCAACTTTCATGGAAAAATATCTTATCATATATTATATATTTCTAGCATTTATTTGTT